GTGTAGTATAAATACTTAGAGCGGAATGAAGCCAATATGAAGCGAATAAAGCGCATGTTACAAACGGTTATATCAACGATTTTTCAATGTGCGGCTTTGTTAAGAAAAAATTGATAACACGATGGGAGAAAATGAGCCTTGAAACAATTTCCAGAACATATCAGAGGGGAGCTCGAGATCGACTTGGAAAAGGAGTGAAAAATCAAACATCGACGCTGCGAAATGCGAATGGAGGAAAGAAATTTAGAGCGAGAATAAAATTATTTCGATAAATGTTCACTAAAAAATAAATTTTAAAACGCAACCGTATGTCGAAAACGTATTGATTTGATAATTGACAAGAAATTTTGGAAAAGTTTCTTGAAAAAAAAAATCGACTACAAATTATTTGAAATTTTTTTTGTTTCGGATAGTTTCATTTTTGTTGTTGATAAAAGTAGAGAGTAAATCTAAAAAGTAATTTTTTTTAGAGTGAATTGCCTCTTGTTTTGTATTGTTGTGTCATCTCTTTCTCGTTTGTCCGGTTATTCGTTGCATCAACAGCTGCCACAGAATAACTGTAAATATTTCACGAAGTATACAAAATGTGAGCTCTGCTTTGAACCAAATGGCAAACAAGAAATGGCGCTAGCGAGAAAAAAAGGTAAATAGTAAATAAGAAGACCCGAAAAATCAAGTTGTAAAAATAACTCAATCTGGTTTTGTACATTCGCTTAAAGCGTTTACATTGTTTAACAAACGTAAATAGCAATCGATCATACCTCGTATATGAGGCATTTGATATACATATACCAAACATGTAGAAACATTCGCCAGAAATATGAACGACATGTTTTGTAAATTTAGAATGGCATGTTGAGTGATAAAAATCTTTCATAAAGAGAGTGCAAGTGATAGAGAAAGAGAATTGTAAAAAAATACTTACTTCGATGATATATGCATATTGAACAATGAGCATACATCGTCTACATCAAATGCGATGCCAAATGGTCAGAGTAATTGAATAAATGAAAATTTAAAAAAATAAACGCCGATAACGCAACGAATAATGAAATGTTCAATGAGATCAAACATTCAGCACAATATCGCGCATCTAGAGGAAAAGAACGACTTACCGTATTCACGTCCATTTACAAGCATTTACATAGCGATCGTCTATGTTATTGTTGTTGTTTTCATGTTGATTCGTCTCGTTCGTAGTGAGCAGTGCTCGCTGAGCACGAATAAGTTTGGCAAATATGCATATCTTTGAATTTGTGTCGTTCTTTCCCCCTAGTCGCGCATGTCTCCTTGCCTGCTCGCTCGCAAGTGCAGTGCGCAGAAATAAATGCTTCGAGAAATGCAATAGATTCTCTTGATTTTTTTCTCACATTTTTTCAAAATTTCAGAGGAAAAATACGCTTAATACGCTCGGTTTGGAGTTAGTTCTTTTCGTTTCTATTAGATTATAGCTCACTGCTTTACACACGCCAATATTCTCGCTTCGAACCGCAGTTGCCTGGGGTGTACAAGTTTGACCATAGAAAAACTGGATTGACGTTGATCGCATTTGATTTGTACTTGTGTCTGTTTTCTACGCACTTAGGGCAATCATATAATGTTCAGGTGTCAGTGAATTTTTTCTCTCTTTCTCGCTCCCTGTCTCTGACATGACACCAAAAGTGGATGACCATTGAATATATTTTCTCTTTTGTCGTTTTCATTACGAAGTATCTAGAGAGAATGAGACACAGAAATAAACGAAAAAGAAGTAAAAAATCGAGTAAGAATAAGTGTGAAAGCATAGAAAATAAAATTGAATATACTTGCATGGGAATATGAAGCATTGAGTGTATGCATGAGCCGGGGAGCATGGCAGTTTTACACTCTACGGTTGTATGCGTGTTTGGATTTGTATTTAAACCGCCACAGTTAGTTCAATTGTATCAGTATAACAATTCATTCCGAATCAGAACAATATTGGAAGTTTTAAGTGTCCATTAAAACATAATCTGTTAAACAAAAGTGACATATAGTTTTTTTGTTTCTGTACAACAAAATAGATATAACACTTAATAGTCCAATATGAATTCAAAAGTGGTAAGAATTCGACACAAATACACATTATATCAATTAGGTTGCATTGCAAACGAACGAAAAACATAGATTGTTATCCAGTGAAAACTAGATACATTCAGAGAAAATATAAAAACATTCTGCCGAAATTGCACTTAATAATTTAATTAATTTTTTTTAAAAAGTGAATTAAAATATCAAATAGAATAAAGTAAAACACGCGCTCTGAATGAATGCATGATTTGTTGCATTTTGAATATCATATAGCGGTTAATTTAACTTATTGTCATTATCTGTCGTAGATTTCCTTCTTTGTGCTCATCGTCGCTGTTTACTCAGCTCCACACGCAACACAATGGCCAGCTGGTGTACACCCAAGTGTCTGCCCTAACTACCCATACTGCGATACTGGTGCTATTGCTGCATCAGTTGCACCATTGGAAGGATTCTCCACCCGTCTTTACCCAGCTGGCATAAGCCCAGCCGCTTGCCCAGGTAAAAAATACAGTTTTTTTTTTCTATTGTTACAATGTCGATCAAATTTTGCAATCAACGTTAAATTAACGAATTCTTTTGAACATTTTTCTTTCATCTTTCTTCAATTTTTTTCAATCAAATTTCTAAGAATGTAATAGAAAAAAGGCAATTTCATTCCTTTGTTTGTTTATTCTTTCCGTAAAGGCTATCCGATTTGCGATAACACTGTTGTACACAACACCCCATTAGTTAACACTGTTAACCCAGCCTGGAATCAACCATCACCTGTGGTTGACAAGTAAGAGTTTGCAGCCATTTCAAGTGGTAAATTTGCATAGACATCACTAAATGTCTTGTTTTCTCGATTTTTGATCTAGATACCCAGCTGGTGTACACCCAAGCGCCTGCCCTAACTACCCATACTGCAGTACCGGAGCCGCTACACCATTGGAAGGATTCTCCACCCGTCTTTACCCAGCCGGCATTGTTGCCGCTTCATGTCCAAGTTATCCATACTGTTAAGTTGGATAGGCAAGACTACAGCATTTCTGAATTCAAAAATTATTCTTAAACGTTAATCTTCTTGGTTTTTTTTACTCTTACACCACCAATTCTTTCTGCACTTTTTAATCCAAATTTGTATCTTCCAAAATGGACTTAATTCACAAGATATTTGCATTTCCTATGGTTATTTTGTTAATAAAGCTTTTTGAAATCGGGAATCAAAGCTGTTTTATTTTAATTTATCGATTCAACTGTGGTGGATCTAAACAATGGACAGGAAACACTTTCTCGATTCTTTATTTGAATATTTTGAAGACTCTCGTCAACGCTTACCAATAAAAAAGAAAAAAATTTCAAACAAGGGATAATACCATTTCGATTTGATTTTAAAAACAAAGTTGGACGTGACTCATCATCATTGATAGTTTTAGACTCTACGTATCAAAATCATTCCATCAGTCTAGTGATCACCGCAAAACAAAACGGTATTGAACGATATCAATACCGAATATTTGCTACAAATTCTTGAACAGTTGGAATTCATTGATTTATTGGACATGGCACAGACGAATCATCACTTTGACAGTCTTGCCCGTGACGTGTTCCGTCGAAAGTTGTCATCAAAAACGATCGAAATTGTGGCGCCGTTCAAAAAAGGTTTGCGGCATCCAATTCAGGAATCGACTTCCAAGATTACGCTTGAAAACTATGAATACGTTCAAAAAACGCTTAGAATTTTCGGTACTGAAATCAAGAAAATTGAATTGAGATTCCGATCGATTGCACCCGAACAGCGGAATGAAATCCATCGACTCATAAACAAATTTTGTTCAAAATCTTTAACTTCATTGGTTATAGATAAATGTGACGGAAATACGTTGACGTATTTCACCATTCCGCTGGAAATTGTGGAAAATCTAACAATTAATAAACCGTATACTTGTGTACCAACCGATATATTCTTCATAAATTTTGAGCTCAGCCCAATTTAACTCCAATTTTCATTCATTTTTGTAACGATTTTGATTTATCGAAATTCAAACTGAAGTTGGTTCAAAATAAATTCCTGTCGAAGAAGAATTCTAAAAAAAAAACCAAATGGAAATAATATTTCAGTGAAATATCATTTTTATCAAATGAATTTGTTAGAAAAACATACAATTATATGAAATAAACATTCGAATCGATCGGGAAAATGACATTCTTTTTATTTCCACATTTGTACTTTGAAAATTTACTATAGAATATCAGCTTATATCGACAATTTCACTTATTTCCTAGCTGAACTATGTAAAAATAGAAAGGAAAACTGCAATTTTATGAGAGCAGCATGAAAAAATATGTTTCGCTGGAATTGCACACAATTATTACTCCAATTTGATCTCATTTGAAACATTGAGTATTTTGTTTTCAAAGTCCGGGACAA